CCCCCACCCCCACCCCCACCCCAAACCCTAAACCCTAAACCCTAAACCCTAAACCCTAGCGCACCAATGGTGCTTTTGGGTGCGAGGATGAGGTGCGGCCCGGGGCAGCTGCGCTCATCTCTCAAAAAAGCCAAAAGGGCAATTGTTTGGAAAGTTTTGCCAAGTCCCATTTCGTCGGCGAGAAGGCCATTTAGCTGCCGGTCGTGCTGCTGCACCAGCCAGCGCAGGCCCTCCAGCTGGTGGGGCTTTGCTGCAGCAGTCACGCTCGCGGGCACTGCAGCAGCAGCAGCAGCTCCCGCAGCTGCTCCGCAGCGTCCCGCTTCGGGTTGTAACTCCCGCTGCATATCAAACGCAAAAAACTGTCCCCCAGCTCCAACAGCATCTGCAGCTTCCCAGCCTTCGTGCCGCCACGGCTGCTGCTGCTGCTGCTCCGGCTGCTGCTGCTGCTGCTGCTGCTGCTGCTGCTGCCGCTGCTGCTGTTGCTGCTGCTGTCCCCCCCACGCTCTTCGGAGCCCTCTGCTGCAGCCGGCGCCATCTTCCCTGCTGCTGCTGTCGCTGCGGCGGCTGCACCTGCTGCTGCGCTGCTGCTCTCAGCGCACTTCACAGCTGTTGCTGCTTCTCTGCAGCAGCGAGCTCACCGCATCAGCTGCTGCTGCTGCAGTGCCTGCTGCTGCTGCTGCAGTGCCTGCTGCTGCTGCGGACGCAGCTCTACAGCTACTACGGAGGAACAGACATGTCGCGGCAAAAGAAGCAACAGCAACGCCTGCTGCGGTTGCTGCTGCGGTTGCTGCTGCTGCGGTTGCTGCTGCTGCCGTCGCTGCTGCTGCTGCTGCTGCCTCTTCGAGCGGATGGGAAGACGTTCCCGGCGGTGTTGCTGTTGCTGTTGTTGTTGCTGTTGCTGCTGCTGCTGCTACCGGTAGTACTGCTGCTGCTGCTGCTAGTGCATAGCTTCACGCTGCGCTGCTCCGATAGCTCTCGTTTGCTGCAGCAGCAACAGCAAGCAGCAGCAGGACCCTCCACGGGCCCTGGGACACCAAAAACTGCTGCTAGGGGCCCCACGCGCCAGCCGCTGCTGCTGCTGCTGCAGCTGCTGCAGCAAGCTGCCGCGGGATCGTGTGGCTGCTGTGCCCAAAATAGCAGATGCAGAGGGCCCCTGGCCCCAACCCTAAACCCTAAACCCTAGGCCCTAAACCCTAAACCCTCGAGCTCGAATATATGGTATTTGCCTTAGTTATTGAGGCTTGTGCAGACTGCAACTAATGGAAGGTTCGTTGCTGCTGCCGCCGCTGCTGCTGTTGGCTGCAGCCACTGAGCTTCGGCTGGTGCTCCTTTGTGTTCCCCTTTGTTTTCGATTCAAAATAAATTAAATTAATTAACCATGCAAATAATTCAGTGTTTAAAAGGCAATAATTTTACTTAGGTGTACATACACGTGCAGGAAGGCAAAGACACAGAAACGTAGGCCGCTCAACCTGTTGCCGCGGTTGCTGCTGCAGCAGCTGCTTCTACTGCTGCTGCTGCTGTTGCTGTTGCTGCTGGTGCTGCCTTGTCTCTTACTGCGGTTGCTGCTGGCGCTGCTGATCCTACTTACTCCTGCTGCTCTTTGCTATTGTTGCTTCTGCTGCTGCTGCTAGCTCTGCTAGGGCGAGCGCCGTTGCTGTTGCTGCTGCGCTCACCGCTGCCGCTTCTGCCTGTTTGCAGCTTGAGGAGCCGTTGCTGCTGCTTACGTATACCCTGCTGCTGCAGGATGGTCTGCAGCTGCTTCAGGATACGCTGCTGCTGCTGCCGGGGCCTGCTGTGCTGCTGCTGCTAGCGGCGCCTGTTGTTGCTGCTGCTGCTGCTGCTTTCGCGATCGAGCTCCTGGTGCTGCAGCTCTGCTGCGAGGCGTTCCCTCGGCCAAGAAGACAAACAACACGTTATCTGTTGCAGCAGCAGCAAAAGCAGCGGCAGCATTGCATCAGCAGTGCATGCTGCAGTAGCAACGCCACTGCAGTACTAACAACACTGCAGCAGCACCAGCAGCAGCGCATGGCGCGACAGCGCTGCAGCTGCAACTGCAGGCTGAAGCGCAGGAAGGGTAGCTGCCGCAGCAGCAGCACAAGCGCAGCAAGCACGCTGCAGCAGCAACGGCACTGCAACACGAACCGCACTGCAGCACCAACAGCACTGCAGCAGCAACGGCATTGCGCACTGCAGCAGCAACGGCATTACGCTCTGCAGCAGCAGCTGCTGTTGAGGGGAAAGAGGCAGAAGTAATAAAGAGACGCTGCAACCAAGAGAAAAGAATAAAGTGCAGCAGCAAAGTGAGCTATCTGAGGCCTGCTTCTGCCGCTGCTGCTGCTGCAGCAGCTGCAGTAGCTGCAGCTGCCACTACTGTAGCACTGTAGCGACGAAAGTAGCGGCGCCAGTGATGGAAACAGGCGTCTCTTAGTAGGAAGCTGGTGCTGCTGCTGCTGATGCTGTTGCTGCTGCTGCTGCTGCTGTTTGCTCCTGCTTGCTGCTGCTGCTCCAGACCCAGTGCTATCCTCTAGCGCTCAAGGTTTCCCATCGAAACGCAGCTAATAATTGAGCTTCTTACTGTCACAATTGTAGACACATTTAGGGTTTAGGGTTTAGGGTTTAGTGTTGAGCATCACGGGGCAAATAGTGGGTCAAAGGCAGAGGCAAGAAGGTAACCCACAAAGGGCCGCTGTCGCTGCTGCTGCTGTTGTTGCTGTCGCTGCTGTTGTTGTTGTTGCTTTAGCTGTTGCTGCCATTGCCGCTGTTGCTGCTTCTGATACTCTGGCTGCTGCTGCAGCTCGTCGTGCTGCTGCAGTCAAAAACCCTAACCAACGTAGCTGGATCTCTCGTTGCTGCTGCAGCTGCAGCAGCGGCCACTGCAGCTGCCTCAGCCGCTCCTGAAGCTGCTGCAGCCGTTGCTGCTGCTGCTGCTGCTGCAGCTGTGTGTCTCACGCTTGTTTGCGCGGTTGGTGTTTCTCAGTGCTGCCCTTTCTTGCTGCTCCTCCGCCCATGCGGCGCAGCCCTGCTGCTGCTGCTGTTGCTGCTGCTGACGCTGAACTCGTGGACAGCAAGAGCAGCAACAGCAGCAGCAGCAGCCTGGAGCCTGTTGCTGCTGCTGAGATGAGCGTGCTGCTGCAGTCTCTTCCGCGTCTGAACTCGGTTCGCACTGCTGCTGCCGCAGCAGAACCTGCTGCTGCTCCTTCCCCAGCTGCTGCTGCTGCCTCCCGAGGGCCATTTGGCCTTTTGAGGCCCTTAAGCGCCTTCTCTAGGTCAGCAGCAGCAGCCGGGCTAGGCGACAGAGCAGCAGCAGCAGCAGCCATAGGAACACCGGCAGCAGCGGGCTCGAGGGCAGCCGCAGCAGCAACAGCAGGCTCTGGGCTTCTGCACTCCGCAGCAAACAGCTACCGAAGCAGCAGCAATTCCCTTTCGGCAATCCAAGCAGCAGACGAGCAAAGAGCAGAAGAAGCCCTAGCTGAAGGTAAGCAACAGCAGCAGTAGCACTAGCAGCAAAGGCAGCAGCAACCGTAGTTGTGAAACAGCAGCAGCTGCAGGAGCTGCAGCAACAGCAGCAGCAGCAGCAGAGCTTGAATTATTTCTGGTGAGCGACTAGCACAGGATAAACTAGCACAGGGTGGTGAGTGCAGCGACAAGCAGCAACAATCGTGCTACTCCTGCTGCTGCTGTCGTTGCTTCTGCTGCTGTTGTTGCTACTCCTGCTGCTGCTGCAGCTGCTGCTGCTGCATACCGAGAGGCTTGGGCTTGTTTCCTGCGCTCTGTTTCACTGAGCGGGGACGAAGACAATGCTGCTGCAGTGCAGGCAGCAACGGCAGCAGCAGGTGCTGCAGCAGCAGCCTCTGCTGCTGCTGCTGCTGCTGCAGCAGCAGGAGAAGCAGGAGTTATCGAAGCAAACGCGCTGTCGCTTGAGCTCGCAGCAGCGGTGCATCTTGCGCAGCAGCTCGAGGTGACCGCTGCTGCGTAGCTTCCTGCTTTTGCTGCTGCGTCTGCTGCTTGAACCGCTGTTGTTTTTGTTGCTCCTTCTTCGGATGTTTTTGCTGCCGCCTTTGTTGCTGTTTGTGCTGCTCCGGTTGATGCTGCTGCTGCTGCTTCTGCTGCTGCCTGTGATGCTGCTGCTTCTGCTGTGCTGCTTCTGCTGCTGCCTGTGATGCTGCTGCTTCTGCTGCTGCTCGTGGTACTGCTGCTTCTGCTGCAACTGCTTTTCCTGATGAGTGGTTGCAGCCTCGCTGCCTCTGCTGATTCTGCTGCCTCCGCTTCATGCCAACGGTATTGCTGCAACTGCTACTGCTGCTGCTTCTGCTGCTGCTGCTGCTGCTGCAGGCTGCGGGACGCACTGACGAAGCCATTGACCTTTACAGCAAGCTCATCAGCGACTCGAGGCTGCCTGAAACTCGGAAGTTGTAAATATTTGTTTTCTATTTCTTTTCTTTGATTCATTATTCACTCACTCACCTCTTTGCAACTTGTTACTGATTTATTTTACTTTTTCTGCTCTGTATCTACTGAAAGAACTCTTCCATTAAACTTTAATTAATTATTTAAAATAAGTTTATTTATTTCTCTTTCTTTCTCTCTCTTTCACTGAGAATCAAATTGCTACAAATAAGGCAAAATATTTATTCTTAATTTTTTGCTTTTTTCTATTTTTGCTGTTTTCCAAAGGTTCCTTTTCTGCAACTTTTTCTTTTGTTGTTTCTTGCTCGTTTGCAAGCGAAGTGGCGAGTTAATTTGACCATTATTTACAATTTTTATTATTAAATTTATTTTTATTCATTCATTGATTGCTTGTAGTGCTTTTTTGCTGCTTTTAGGCTCCGATCAAATGTGGGCTCTTTGCTGCTGAAGCAGCAAAAACCCTCTGAGGCTCTCAAGGCCTTCAAATCTGCTCTTGATAATGTTCCAGTCAGCAACAGCAACCAGGTTCGCTCCTGCTGCTGCTGCTGCCTTTGCTGCTGCTGCTGAGGCTGGGGAGTGTTGTGGTGCTGGCACTGGCATTGCTGCTCCTGCTATTACTTCTGGGGGTGCTGCTGCGGCTGCTGCTAACGGCGCTGGGTTTGAGCTTCATCTCTACCTTCTTGTGCTGCTTATGCTGGTGCCATTGCTGCTGCTGCTGTTGCTACAGCTGCCGCTGCTTCTGACAGTGCTATTGCTGCTGCTGTCGGGCTTGTTGTTGCTGCTGCCGCGTTTGCTGCTGCTACAGCCTTTGCTGCTGCTGCTGCTCGTGCAAGCGCACAAGTGCAACTGAACTCTGAACGCAGCAGCAGCAAACAAGTCATGAAAAGGAATTCTACCGGATCAGAAAAGCAAGAAGAATTATATAAGTTAAATTAAACTATGTTTCGCCTTGCAGGGCTACAAACACCTGCGGGCGAGGTTACTGGGGTGTATAGGCAGCTGCTACTTCTGCCTCGGTCGTTTTTCAGAAGCAGCAGAGGCAAATGAGAAATCTCTCGAGGTAAATCGCTGCTGCTCATTTGCTCACGTTTTCTCCAAGATTTTTCCAGCTAGGTGGCCAGCTAGTTGCCCAGTCAGCTGGCCACCTAGCTGCAAAAGTTCAGAGGAAGCATGAGCTAGCTCCCTGAGTCGCTGGCTAGCTAGCCACCTAGGTAGTTAGCCAACTCGCTAGGTAGGCACCTTGTTAGGTAGCTGGATAACTGCAGCTACCTGTAGGGCTGCATATTAGGCTAGCTAGCTAGCTGGCTAGCTAGCTAGCTAGCACAATAGCGAGTTTTGTAGCTAGATCGTTAAAGAGGTAGGTACGAAGTCCGCTAGCTAGCTGGCTAGCCGGCTCGCTGTCTAGCTAGCTAACCAGCTAGACGATTAGCTAACTAGCTGGCTAGCTAACCATTGGGTACTGACTAATAAATAAACTGATCAGACGCGGCACAAAGAAAATACAAAAAAATATTGCCTGCTTCGAAAGCTCTGAAAGCAACTAATCATCTAGAGGGTTGTTTGGCGCAGCTGCTGCCACCGCTGCTGCTGTCGCTACTGCCGCTGCTGGTGCTGCAGTTGGCTCCACTGTCTGCTTCCTCGCTGCTGGTGTCCTTCAATTTGTTTCTTTGCTGGGCGGCTTTGGGCGACTCGGAGCGGATGCAGCATTTCTTTGTTTCTCTTTTACTGCTGAAGCAGGAGAAAATGAAAAGAGGTATTAAATCCATTGAGCAGCTCAGCTACTTGCTGCTCTAGGAGCCTGCTGCTGCAGCGTTCCTGCTGCTGTTGCTGCTGCTGCACAGCCTGTAGCGTCTGCTGCGCAGCACTTGCTCAAGGCTGCTGCTCCTGCTGTCCCTAAACCTTTTAACGAGCTCTATATTTTGGAATTTAGGGTTTAGGGTTCAGGTCTTAGGATTTAGGGTTTATAGCCCAGGGTTTAGGTGCTTTACAGAGTCGGAGGACCTCAAGGGTTGTGTTGATATATTCTCTCTAGAAGACGAAGAACCAGTAGTAACAGCAGCAGCAGCGCCTCCTGCTGCTAATGCTGCAGCAGCTCCAGCTGCTGCTGCAGACTCCTCTGCTGCTGCTGCCTGCTCTGCCGTCACAACAGCAGCAGAAGCACCAGCAGCAGCAGCAGCACCAGCAGCACCGAAGGTAGAGACTTCTTTTTTGAATGAAGACGAGTGCATTCTAGCTGCTATGCGTTTATTAGTTTATTTTTCGCCGAGGCAAAAAGGCGAAATATACCAGCAGGTTATAAACGCCCTGAGGCAATACGGTCAGCAGCAATAATAAATAAGTAAATATATAATATATTGTTCTTATGGATGTAGCAAATTAACTACTTAATTAACTCAATCAACCGGATTGATTAATTAATTAATCTATTAGTCAAATGGCTGATAATTAATTTTTTATCATTTGCCTATTTATTATCCGAGCAGCTCACTGTCGAATTCGTGAGTTAACTTATTTACTAATTCATTTAACAAGTATAAATTAATCAGTTAATTAAATATTATATTCACGATTAATTTATAAATAATTCTTTTCCAATTACTCTTCAGGCCTCGAAAACTTAGCCGGTGAAGTGGAACTCGAGAGGGCCATGGGGTGGCTGCGGGAGGGTAGGGAAGAAGCAGCAATTGCTGCCTACAAAGCATGCAACAGTAACAGCAGCAGCAGCAGCAGTAGAGTTTCGCTGCTCAAAGCAGCAATTAACTTGTCCTTCATTTTCGTACTCGAGGGGGACTTGCAGCAAGCGGACGCCTACGCAGACATGGCGCTTGCTGCTGACAGGTGAAGCAGCAGCAGTACCAGCAGCAGCAGCAGCAACAACAGCAGCAGGGCACGCAGCAGCAACAGCAAGGGTAGCAAGTGCGGCTGCTGCTTTACTTCTGCGCCACCGGCACCAGCAGCAAAAGTAACAGCCGATGTAGCAGATTAGCATTAGCCTCAGTGAAGACAACAACAGCTACACTCAAATCAGCAGCAGCAGTAGCAGCAGCATAATCAGCAGCAACAGCAGCAGTTGCTGCTACTGCTGCTGATTCTGGCTCTTCCCCACGTGTCTGGGGTGTATGCCGCTGTGCCCACCCCTGATTCGCTTCTTACATATTTATGTGCTTTTTGTTTCTTATTTAATCCACAGCTTTTGTTGGTTTACATTTTAATTTATTTTATTTGCCAGACCTGTGTTATGTGACTGCTTATTATTTGCTTATATGGATTCCGGTTGCGATGAACGCGCCTTCTATTTGCTGTTCTATTTGCTCATATACACGCATGAGGGCACGGTTGTTGCTGCGACTGCTGCTGCCGTTGCTGTTGCTGTTCTTGCTCCTGCTTTTGGCGTTCACGCCCCCACCACTGCCGCTGATAGTAATTCTGCTGCTGCGCCCTTGAGTCCGGTGATGCTGCTGCTGCTCTTGCAGGAGCAGCGCTAAGGCGCTAGTGAACAAAGGCTGCGTGTTGCTGCAGCGCGGGGAAGCCGCAGCAGCAAAAGCGAGCTTTGAAAAAGCATTTGAGCGAGACAACAGCTGCCAGGAAGCTTTGTTTAATCTCGCTGTTGCTTGTCATAAACTGGACAGGTAGCAGCAGCAGCAGCGGCGTCAGCAGCAGCAGCAGGGACATTTTAGAAAGCGGGGAGGATAAAATGCAGTGTATGGACAGTGTGTCGTTGCAGTGCTCGTAGCTTTTTGTTCTGCTGTTTCTGCTGACCATTTGCAAGATTCACCATAGGGTTCACGGTTTAGGGTATAGGACTTAAGGTGTAATCACCTGAATTCGTTTAGCGACAATGGTTAAAGTTGATTCTTGAAGCTTTAGCCTCATTTGTTTGCTGCAGCCACTAGACTCTGAGGTGTATTAAGGTTTGTTTAAGATTTAAGAAAAAAAACAAGCATTTGTAAACACAGATGTAGAAGAAGGCTTGAATAGAATTGTAAAAGCAGCGACACAGGTACATAAATATGTGAAGATGCGCAAGTGTACTATTTAGCTGCATTCATATTCTTCATATACTACTATATATTGGCAATAACGTACAGATATATATATATATATTCATATACATAAGCACTATATATTTATGTTTTTTTCTTCTTATTTGATTTATTCTTCATTATTTGATTAGGAAGGAGGAAGCGGTTTCTGCCTTGCTGCGGCTGCGGTCGCTCTTTCCCGCCCACGCTGAGGCACTTTTCCTCCTCGCCAAAATATACGAGCAGGTACCCAAACCCTAATCCCCAAACCCTAAACCCTAAGCCCTTTCAACTCCCTGCAAACCAGACCGGCCCGGAACGAATCTTTGGGTCTTCTTCTCTCGACGCTATAGTGCCCGCATCTCCCTGGAACTGGCAGTAGATGTAGGAATGCACATTTAGGCAATTAGCTGCGCAGAGTGCCCAGAACTATATGTAGTGGCTGCTGTCCACATGCTGTGCTTCTGCGGCCCAAAGCAAGGGCAGCTGGACTCAGCGCTAGAGGCTCTGGCGTTGCTTGCCTCGCCATCTCTGCGACCACAAGACGCAAAAGTGTGGAAAGAAATGGGGCGGCTCAGCGAGAGCTTGAACATGCGCCAAGAGGCCCTAGGCCACTACAGAGAGGCCTACGGGTACGCTTATCCAGGCACCACACCCTAAAAACACTAAACGCTCAACCCTAAATTGTAGGCCCTAGGTTGTGGACACTGTATGCGGGCCACAGAACTAGGCGAAAGCCCGGCCGCCCTACACAGAGGCCTGTTGTAGCAAAGACAAGGCGCTTAGCCCTAGTCTCTAGCCCGAACCTGAACTGCCGTGGATGGGCCTATGCATGCAAAGGCTAGACTCTGAGCAGCCAAGATTCAGTGTGTTGACACGCAAGGGCGTGGTAACATGCAATGTAACTAACGATCAAACACACTCACTTC